ACCATAACCATGTGAATAATTAGATATGTGTCATCTTTATTTACATTTTTCTCTAGTATTCCTAATAGTAATGTCTCAGGTTTGTATTGAATGTTTTGCCCAAACAGACGGAGGCAATGTGGCCTTGCCTGCCACATGCCCGGCAAATGGCGGAGTGGAATCTTTAGTCAGCGCGCTTGTGGCGTCCTCCACACCTGAAACACTGAGGAGATGCTGGGGCCTTGTCTGGACGCTCGTTCGGCCTTCTCTCCACTGACTGGTGCAGCCTATCCACCTCCTCTTCAGGATCCTGTTCTGGATCTTCTCGAGCGACCTCTTGATGGACAGTAATGGTGGCTGGAGGATTTCTGGCGAGCCGCAAGGCCTTCACAGCACCACCCGCTGCTTCTTCAGCTGCAATCTCTCTCAAGGCATCTTGGAACGAAACATCTTCCTTGGCGAAGATCTTCTGCTGCAGCTTACAACTTCTTAGGCCACAAACGAAACAATCCCGCAGCCTCTCTTCCAGATCCTTGAATTCATAAGGCCTTGCTGCTTGCCTTAAGGCAGCAATAAAGTCCACAGCAGACTCACCAGGCCTCTGGTCCCTCTGCTCAAAAACATGTCGCCAAGATATCACTGAAAGTTTAGGTTGGAAATGTTCTTTCAGCATCTTCTTCAAATCTGCAAAAGACACTGACTCCAAAAGTGCCGGGGCCACCAGATTCTCTGCTATGTCAAATGTTTCTTGTCCACAAACACACAGCAGGGTAGCCGCTTTAAGGCCGTCTTCTCTTATCTGATTTACTCTGAAGTAATTCTCTACCCGCGCCACGTACGAGTTCCAGCGTTCTGGGTGGGAAATATCAAAGTCTGACAACCGGCCTATCTTAGACATCTTAGCCTTCTGCAACCCTCGTCAATGCCTTCGCTGCAAGCCTTTTGTTGGAAAGGGGTCCTTCTGCTGAGCTCACCTCCAGCAATTCTGTACTGGCAGGCAGAGTCGCGATTCTGGACTTTCCCCAGGGCTTCAGGACTTCCTTGGTGAGTCCTATCTTCTTCTGTTGGTAATCTTGCTTGCAGCGATCCCACCTTCGTCGCCACTGTTAAATTCGCGGGTTAAAGGCATTGCAAGGAAACGAGTAGTGTGAACAGCAAGTCTTCTTTATTCATTCACCAACAAACAGCAACAGAAAAAATGGTGCGCAGGCCTTTTAGAGTGTCCTTGCAAAGGCCAGCTCAGGCAATGAATGCAAGGCTGTTTTCGCGCCTTGCGCATGCGCACAAAGCTAAGACAGCCAGTCTGGTCCCGGGCAGCCTTATGGTTTGCCCGGGACCCTTTGCAAGATTTCTGAGCCTGCTGAATAATTCAGCAGGCCCAGGACATAACACTTACGCTTCAAGCTGATTTGGGAATGTGATTTATGACAGTTAATTGGAAGAGGGAATTGCGCTTTGCTACTTTGTGCGAGGGGAGGTGAATTCAGATTTTGGCTTCAACTATGAAGTGCCAATACTTTGTTTCTCGAATAAAAGATTCTTTAAGGAAAACAATGCCTCAAAGTTCTTTTGAAGAGATTCATCTGTCGGAACCATGACACTTAACACAGTGAGAAACTGTAACCATCATTTGTACTATAATTTTCATCTGTCTGTCTGTCTTTGTGTGTGTGTGTGTGTGTGTGTGTGTGTGTGTGTGTGTGTTGTGTGTGTGTGTGTGTGTGTGTCATAGTCATACAGTTTTCATCTTCAAAATGATTCTGGCCTTATTTTAAATTTCATGCAGAACATGAGTAAATCATGTAGTCCTGATCTCAATTCACTGTAACCTGTGAGATTATAATTGTGGGAAGCTTTTTCTTGGCTTTCCATTCCTACATTTCAATTTACAATATTTGGAGAGCTACAGATGGTGCACCCCTGATTTAAAATAAAGACACTATGTATGTCTTAGTACATTTGCTAAGAAAGAAGAAAAAACATCAGGAATGAAATACATAAATAAGCATATAAAAGTTCTTCATGGAAGGCAAAACAGCAGGCATGGATGCTTCTTGAATGCAATAGGTTTTACACTAACTCACCAAAATCATGAAAGTACTCAATTGTTCATATAAAAGGTTATGTGAATGATGTTGATTCTTTTAATTACTTTATCACATAGAGATTTTTAGACACTTGGAGGTATAAAAAACACAAAGAATATATTCCTTTGGAAATGTTGGCTATGAATTGAAAATTATGTTAATACTTACTTAGAACTTCCTCAAGTTAAAAAAGATCAGATAATAAAAAAGAATTAGCAAAAGGTATACTGTTCATAAATTCTTCCAGCTTTATTCTTGAATTAGCAAAAGTTGTTTTAATAAAACATATCCTATTGATTAGGTATACTGTATGCTGAAGATAAATGCATATCATGAGCAAAACTCAGAAGCTTGCCTCTCCTAATAAATGATCATTTAAAAAGACTAATAGGAACATTATAATGTTAAATATAATATCTAACACACTGGGAAGTAGTCATGTTGAATAGTGAGATATATTTTTGGCTTTTGTTATTTCTTTGTTTTGAATTCTGCTATGAAAGTTATTTAAAATTATTTTGGTGACCGAGGCAGCATGTAAATTTATATCTAAATAATGCTTCAAATATATAAATGCAAAAAAAATTATTTAACAATGAAAGAAGAATGAACCCATTCGCATAGAACTGAGTCCATTGTAGGCCAGACTTCTTAATAACTGTCAGGAAGCTGGGCATTTACTTAAACTAAAACTAATTTCTTTTCCATGCATAATTCTCACATGGTATCCTTAACAAGATCCTTGAGAAGCAATGGAATCGCAAGAATTCCAACAACTAGACTATTCCCCATCTACAGCTAATATGTTCCAAAGTAAATTGGAGATCTCCTTCTCCTTCTCCCTCTTCTTTTCTTCTTCTCTTTCTGTCAAGTGATAAATTGGCAGGTCTCTTCATAACAAAGTAATTTACCAGTGGCTTTTTATTGGATTCATATGACTGTATATTTTATTTTATAGCTGCCATTGCTAAATTGTCTTATGTCTTGTATACATTATTAGTCACTACTAAAGCTGTTTTTTGAATGAATGAATGAATGTATCAATGAATCAATCCATCTCCTTCAAAAATTAACCATTATAGCAACCAGAAATATCTTTACATCCTGACAAAATTAGGAAGGAAATGTGTGTATTGTTCAAGATAGACTACAGAATATCAAACCTTGACAAACAGCTTGACTATGTATATATATTTAAACATTATTATATTTTTTAAAATGCATTACAAGTCAGTACAATTAATTAATCAGAAAGATATTTTGCAATTCTGAAATGTATATGAGACAGTTAAGTACCCAACTATTGAATAAGAAATTTCCTTTGCTTTGTATTGAGGAAATCACCTATCAATAAACTGCAAGGGTTCCCTTGATCTCCAAGGACTGGAATTAGCAAGGCTGGTGATGTCATTGCATCAAGATAGAATCAAGATCACGTGAAGTGTTAATACCACTTTACAATGCCTTGGTAAGGCCACACTTGGAATACTGCATCCAGTTTTGGTCACCACGATGTAAAAAAGATGTTGACATTCTAGAAAGAGTACAGCAAAGAGCAACAAAGATGATTAGGGGACTGGAGGCTAAAGCATATAAGGAAAGGCTGCTGGAATTGGGTATGTCTAATTTAATGAAGAGAAGGACGAGGGGGGACATGATAGCAGTGTTCCAATATCTCAGGGGCTGCCATAAAGAAGAGGGAGTCAAGCTATTTTCCAAAGCACCTGAAGGCAGGAAAAGAAGCAATGGGTGGAAACTAATCAAGGAGAGAAGCAACCTAGAACTAAGGAGAAACTTCCTGACAGTTAGAACAATTAACCAATGGAACAACCTGCCTCCAGAAGCAGTGAATGCTCCAACACTGGAAGTTTTTAAGAAGAGACTGGACAGCCATTTGTCTGAAATGGTATGGGGTTTCCTGCCTGAGCAGTGGGTTGGACTAGATGACCTCCAAGGTCCCTTTCAACTTTATTATTATTATTATCTCTGAAGTGGACAAAGCTAGAGTATGTGGTCTTTAGGAAAGATTGATTTAGAGGTATTGGTCAAGGGAAGAAAGTGGTGCTTTAAGTCTTGTGAAGGGATTTTATTGTGTTTATGATTTTAGTATGTTTAAGCTTGACACTAGCAGCTATTTTATATATATATAGTAACCATTTTATATTGTTACTTGTAATGTTACTATGTAATTATTGTTTTGTTATTTTGTAATCATTATTTTGTAGCCAGTTGCCTGAGCGGGTGTTTTATGTATATTGGAAAAGTAAAAGTGTAAAAGTGGGTTGCTGTGTATGAGTCATCATCTTGGAATTGTTTTTCTGTACCTTCTTGCTCCTGATACAGAGACCTGATCTTTTTGTTCTGAAAAGGTATAAAAGGTGGAAGACATCTTTCCTAGTTGTTGCCTTCATTTCTCTACCAGCCACAAAGAAGAATAAGGTCACCCTCTCTGTTTTGATCAAAATAAAGTTGTAATTCTTTGCTGAAACCTCCACTTAGGAGTTTCTTTTGGCGCTTTTAAATTCCTGAGTAGCGCTGGGACAATTGTGAGGCAAAGTGGAAAACCTGACACTTGCATAATCTTAAAGTACTGATTTATTTTTTAATCCCTACCCTACCATAAAAAAAATTACCCCTTAGAGGCATTGAAGTTTTAAGAAAAGAAATGGAACCTTATTTTCTGGCATAAGGCAACCATTTTGATTCTCTCCTCCATATCTCACTCATTCTCCTCTTCTCTCAAAAATAGGCCCCGTATTTTTGTCTACCCTCTGCCCATTCTGAAGGAAGTTGCTACAAAAGTTGAAATCTGGCTGTTAGCGAATAAATTAGCCATAACCTCTGATAAGGTATTCAGAATCAATACTGAAGTAGATTGAAGTACTAAGGATTAACAAAATGATTGCAAGCTTTCAAATTCCCAAGAACTTTTCATCCAGCACAGTACTTTAATATTTAGGAGGGGAAAGTGGGGGAAGAGAGTAGAAGAAAAAAATATGGCTGCAGTTGTAACAAGAATGCATTCCTAAATTCAGTTCTGAAGACTCTGAAGACGTATTAGAAGATGTATGCAAAGACCACTCCAAGTGGAATGCAGGGAAAAAGGAAGCAAAGGTTTTAATTAGATAGACCCAAGGTCTGAAAAACAGTCATGTCCCTCCTTCCTCCCAAAGCACATTACAGTACACAACCACCTGCGTCCTTTTTTTCCTTAATTTTTAATTACAGCATCTTATTTTGCTTAGAAACTTAAAAGTTATACATATTTGCAAGTCTTCAGAAGATCTAATGGAATTGCCCTCAAATCAAAGTTGGATTTCTTTGTCTTGTGATCTGTGTGACAATTTTGTTTTGTTTGGGAATAAATAATTTCCTTATATTTTCCTTATATCTTTTATAGAATGCTTTTCACAATATAGCCCTCTCCAACCTTGGTAACACTGGCACATAAAGTTATTTCTTAAGAAAATCAAATTCTCCAACTCCAATTTTCCTTTTACAATCACTTTCTTTTCTGTTGCATTGCCATGCACCATGATCCTAAAACTATCAGGGAACAAGTGGAGAAAGGCATTTGAATCACTATGTTTTCGAACACATCTTCCACGTTTCTTGCAAAGGAAATGGCTGCAAATCTTGGATGCAGTAGTCACATTAACGATATAACGTCCCAATGGACCATCCATATAGTCTTTCACTTTTCCACAGCTTTCCTAAAATAAAACAAAGAATAATTGATTTTTGCATTACTATAGAACCTAAAACATATCTACTCAGAAATTGAACTGAAACCAAATATTGGAAAATGGCTATGCAAAGCAAAGCATTGGAAAACAGAAAGTGGCTGTGGCTGTATTCTGGTAGTTCCGGTCAAGATCCACTTCCACCCATCCAATTTCTCTCCAATGGACCCAGCTCTTTTCTCCTTCCATTCAAAAAAGAGGCAGTGGCAAAGTTTGATAGCTGCTGGGATACAACTTTATAAGCAGAAATACATATGCAGAAAATGAGTGTATGTAGTAGAACTGTAAACATTTTGCAGCCTGGGATTTATATTTGTTTCTTCCCCCCCCCCCCATATATTTTATTGATTTTTTTAAACATAAATCACTTAATAGTTGGTAAACAGTGTGTTTTCTGGGTTTACATTTGTAAAGAAAAATCATTAACAATTGGTTTCTATAATCCATAATCTACATAGTACATTTAGTTGGTTTCCCCTTTTCCCCAAAATGTCTTCTTTGCAAACCTTGAAATAATACAATTCTTATTATTTTGATAAATAACAGTTACATATATAATTTTTTCCCAATATCCCTAGAAATAATGATCACATCAATATAATATTTCTTTTCTATCTAATCATTCTGGTTGCCTCATCTTATATCCTGTTTCAGTCCTTATTTAGATTTGTTTCTCCCATAAAGTTCAAAGTATTCTTGCTGGTTAAGATTTTCTCAACAGTTAATTACATTTAAAGATTTAAATTCATTTTTCCCATATAAACCATCTCAACACTTTTACATTTCTTAAAGAATAGGTAAAAACAGTAAAGAAAAGGAAAAGAGAGCAAGAGTAAAGAAACATAAAAAGTAAAATACTACTTAAAATATATATTCCTCCTAAGCTAATATATATTTGTTCCCAAAATTTCTTATTCTTTTTTAACCATGATTAAAAATATATTTAATCTTTAAATATTCCATTTAATGTGCCTAGTCATCTAATCCTTTAACTCTTATTCAAAACATTTTTTTCTTTTTTATACATTATAATTTTCCTAAATTCAGACACATTTAATTGTCTAAAACATTTCCTTCATCTAGGCCATTTCAGCAGTATTATATTACTTATATCAAGAAATAAAATAAAAAGGAGAAAAAAAGCATACAGTATTATTTAAGGAATTCATCTCTCTTAGAATGACATATGTATTTAGAATCTTTTCTATTTCTTTAACCTTATTCAAACAAATGTTTATTTTTTAAATATTCTCTCTGGTAGATCCCATCATCTATTTTCTCAATTTTCACTTTGATCTTTTTCCTTTGACCCGTATCTTTCTTGATCAATGTGTTTTGCTGAATCAAAAAGTTTTTCCCATATATTCATGACTGTTGCTGTAGGTATAAGAAGTAAATCAAATAAAGTGTCTTTATGTGAGGCTTTTGCCTTTCCATGTTTCTTGAAAATATTTTTCTCTTTGTCCTTCTTTGCTTCTCTTATCACTTCCTTTCTCTCTGATGTGTTCAACATCTCTACATTCCATTTTATCCAATCTGTTTTTTTGTCCTCAGATTTATTTTGTAGTCTCAAGGGATGAGTTGTTTTTTCCATTTCTTGTAATTTTTTCCCCACTAGGATTAAATCATGTTTTCTTGCTTTGTTAAGTTCCATCTTTGAGTCTCTATTTTCAATTTTATGTCCACTTATTTGTTTTGTCTGCTACTTCTCTGTTCTTGTTTCCTGGAAGTTTTTTTTTGTTGTAAAGTTAACTTAAAGATAGATTGATTTGTATTTTTAAAGTTATTTTGGATTTCTTTGTGATTTGAACTCAGTGTTATTTGAATTAATTGCAGTATACTATATATCTCCTCCTGAGAGGTATTTATGTTTTCTTGGTGTGTTCTGTCTACATGTCTCTGATCCATGATGGCCAAAAGTTGGAGTTTTCCTTCTTATCTGCAAATAGCTTTAGAGTCTCAGTTAAATAGATATTTGTAATCCAAAGAGTTCAAAAAAGATTTTTTTTCCTAAAGTTTATAATTCTCTCTTTGTCTGCAGCCCAGATTGTTGTCTTTTTTTGTCATAGCTGTTCTTTATTATTAAAGCTTTGAAGGTCACAAACACAGATTAGCTTTTCCCAGGTTTTGGCAAGTTCTCTATGGAAATCATAGCTTCTATTTTGCTTTTACCCTCAAAAATTTTAAAAATAACATAAACATTAGCCATATACTCACATAAGGCTGTAGGAGACACAAAAGCCTAAACTGGCCATGGGTCAGGATTACCTATTACTGCTTTATGACTTCAGACTCTTACCTGATTCATACATGCACAGTCATATTATAGTCTTCAGTGTCGACATGAATAAGGAAATTAAACACTGACATTTTTAAACATCAGAGAGAATGATTTCATTTCTAATCTCACATTTCTATTCACATAATGTGGTGTAGATGTCAGGAGTTCCATATCTATTTAATTATATCTTTATTTGAAATTGGATTTATTACAATTTTCTTTTATCATTAATGCCATTTAAATAGCTTTTGTATCCAGAAAGCTATCTCTACTACTGGGCTAAAGGGTAGAAAGCTACAATCATTCTACAGATGTGTGCAGAAGCACCTATTCAAATCAATATGTCATAAAATCCACATACTTAAATACATACATATATATTTCACATTTTTAAACCACCCATCTCCCTCAGTGAGGGACTCTGGGTAGTGTACAATAAAATGCTTAAATATAAAAACAGCGTATAAAAATAAAAATTTAAAAGGAAGCAAGGGTGATTAAACCATGTTCAAAAGGGGAAGGGAGAGGTCTCAGGGCGCCAACCTGCACCATGGCTGCATGTTCCTCTGGGGTCCCCCATGAAGTCACAGGGCCATGTTTTAACCCCTTTTTGGAATGCCAGGAGAAGGAGGGCCTGCCTCATCTTTGGGGAGAGAATATTCCACAGGGTGGAGACAATGGCAGAGAGAAGGCTCTCTTCCTAAACCCCACCAGTCATAATTCCTTAACTGATGGCGTCTGCAACATACCTTCCCTGCCTGACTGGGAGGGACAGGCTGATGTAATGGGACAAAGATGGTTCCATAGGTAGCCTGACCCCATGCCATGGAGGGTTTTATAGATCATAACCAACACCATGAATCAATTATTAATTAAGCACATATTATTAGAAATGCACGTAACCTCACACTACAGCCTTACCAATACATATACTGGTGTGTGAATAGCCATAGGCATATTCTCATCACAAAAATAATTGTGCAGGCAATAATTTTGTTCCCTTTTCTACTGCAGACCATTAGTCTTTCACTGCTAATAGCGCTCTTGACTAAATTAAAAATAAATTAAAATAATGATCTTAAGCACTGTCTCTTTTTTTTCTTTCCTTCAAATACTACAGACTGCTCCTGTTTATTACTCTTACCCAATGCTTTTTTTCTTAAAAAAAAAAAAAAAAAAAAAGGTGCCGGAACTCACACATGTCATACAACCTGCCTTGCCTACCCTACAAGGTTCCATCCAAAAAAGGTGCCGGAACTCTGTACTGGGCGTTCTATGAGAAAAAAAGCCCTGCTCTTATCTCTGAGAATATTTTTTGGTGGGGGGGGGTCAGAAACTTGATCCTTTTTATCAACTGGTTGATCTAGAGAAATGATCAGGATTTAAGACTGGCGTCACAAGCAACATGTTATCCAGTTGTCCATTCATTACTACCAAGTGGCAGAAAAATAATGTGATTTCTTACAGTAGGTAAGGTACATTTGGGTAGTTTTCACTTTTATTTTTCTGTGCCAGTGAAGACATTAGGGCAATGATGCTACAAATCTCTTCATTCCCTTAATTGCTTTCTGAATATTATTTCAGTAATTGAGGAAAGTTATTGTATTTAATAAGTTTTCACCATGTGATTGGACATGTTTGATAATCCCCTAAGTAATCCTAACTTGATATCAATTCCTGGACCACTTATTACAAGCTATAAATGTTGACATAAAAGGAAGGAAGGGGTCTCAAGGATTTTAATGAATATGGCTTATGGGCATTTTGTTCACCCATACTAACTTACAACAGTACTGGCATATTGCATGCTTCCCCAAAAGACAATTCCTGCTGCCCCCATGGCCGCTGATTCACCAACTGTAGTCACCAAGTCTTCCTGAAAAGTAAGGCAATGAATAGGGATATTTTAATAGAGCACCACTCACTGATAATAAACAGTTAAAATATTGGCAGCCATTTCCCCTCCCCCCTTATTTTTGGAGGGCTGTTTATGAGAAAACAGGTTTAAGCACAAGTCCTGTTTAGCAAATTTAGCACCCTGGGAAAGAATACTCTTTCATAGCTCTATCAAATGCCTTGCTGAAAGTCAACGATGCTGATGCATACTCCCAGTAAAAATTATTGTGATAGTTTCTCAGATATGAGGCTTTTTCAGATTATTAAGTTAGAGCAGCTTTGCTCCAACTTGGTAACTTTAAGACTTGTGGACTTCAACTCCCAGAATTCCTCAGCCAGAAAGTTGCTAAGTTTGGAGACCCCTGAGTTACAATATGCTAAATATGTAGACTTTATAGTATTTGGGGAAATTCCTTTACATTCAAATGCTGTGTTCAGAAAATAGCCTATAATTCTTTGCTGAGAGTGTATGTCCAATAAATCTGATTTCTGAGGTAGTGGGTGCATTAGTAATTTTGAAATGTGGTATTGGAATTCTCTTAAAATGATTGCTACGAAGGCTGTTGCTAATAAAATGTTACACACTAGAAGGAAAGGGAAAGAGAGACCCACCTTTTAAAAATGCCAGTATAGCCTATGCAGGGCTCAACAATCTTGTTAGATATGCTTGAAGATGTGTTGCTTAAGTACATCATTCCTTCCCAATATTGTCTTTAAAAGAGCCTTAAAAATAAACTAGATAGGGCAGGGATCTCAGTAAGCACCAAAATGTGTAAGACATATCAAGCACCATGTTGGAGATTCAAGTTAATCCAATATTTTCATTCATGAATTATAGTTTAGATGAGGAATTGTACTTTTTGAATTGCTAAAAATAAAGCAATAAGAAATATAAATGATATATATGAATGACATATATGTTCTGTGTTCAGGAATACTGGATGTAATCATTCAAGTTATCTAGCACTGTGAGCCATATTATTTTGCTTCTGTATGTCCACTATGTTGATCATTTCATCTATCCCTGAAACTTCATCCTAGTTTTTGTAATAATTATATAAGCAGGGACAAGGGACAATAGAACCAATATATAATGCTTATGTTTTATTTATGTTTTAATGAAATGGTAAAATTATACTTACTTCCTTCATATACACACTGACATACTTGTATATCCACAAGTGAAAATATCTAGATATTTATATTTATTTTTTCCTGCCTGTCGAACTGCAACTGCAGGAGAGGAAATTTGACTAAAAAGTGAGGATGGGACATTACATTCCTCATCCCTTATTCAGTCTCTGCAATATTCCTAGGAGCAAATCTACAGCTGCACTTTATAGCAGCCTTCAATTTAGTAAAAAGTTGGAAGATCTAATCAGGTATCTCTTATGTGGCAAAGCCAATCATACTGCTGTGGGAAAAGAGTGCTGCTGGACAATATGTTATCCCAATTTGAACTAGCTACTGTTTTGCCATTGTATTTTATTGTATTTTGTGAAATTTTCATGTGCCAAAATAACTTGATTGTCTTAGAGTATGAAGCATCTTGCCTTGAGAAGCAAGGAGCTTTTGCTGTGTGTCACAGACGTAAAATATTTAAGATCAGCCTTGCCAATATGTAATTCAAGCCTATGATAGCACACTGAACTATGAAAATAGGGTTGAACATTATGCATACTCAGATTTGTATCATACGGTAACATTCCAATTGTCAACATATACATATATGCAGCTCAAGGAATATCTGAGGGATGTGGGATTTCACCTGCTGACTATTCCTTTCCCATGGCCATGTGATTGATAATGATGTAAAATAGTCCTATCCTGTTTACTTAGGATCCTTTAGCATGAAGGATTCTAAACAATCAAAATCCCTGATTACATGAAGAATCTGACATGCAACAAATTGACCCATGTTGGACTTGTCCTATGCTGGTGTTCAAGAGGAGAAATTTAAAGCATGCTAATGGGTATGAACCAGATGGAGTGAGATTCTCTATGAATTCTCTCATGAAGTTTTAGAGTTCTAACAAATATGTAATGTAGCTGTCAACAAATCTTGATTCTGAAATTCATATACTCCAATATCTTACCTGTGTTAAAGGTTCAAAGGTATATGCATAGAATGGCCTGGCATATGGAAAAACAGGCAAGGCATAATCTTTCCTAGCCATGGAAGCAATGCGCATTGATTCTTTAAGGCGATGGTGCACAAATTTCAAAGCATTGTCACTTGACCTCAATATGGTTTCAATATATATATTAGGAAAAAGGGCAGTACTGTCTCTCCATAGCCAAAGTAGCTGATTATTCCGTGACATTTCAATATCTGGACATTCTCCTGTGTATTGATCAGGTTTTGTCTTATAATTATAATTATGGCAATCTGGATACAGATAGTAGCCCCAATATCCATCTGGTCGCATTTCTTCAGCTAGTAAAAGTGTATCTCTCATGAAACTCTTCGCAGCTTTTTCATATTCTTGCTTAGCTAATTTCTTGATTTTATCTTCAGACAACTCTGGGTGCAAATCTCTAGCAAATTGAATAGATCTGTTTCTGTAAACATTTTTACTGCCCCAGTTTCTATCCCACTGGGGTCTCCAGTTTTCCCAGTCAATGACTCCAAGTCCATGAAATGTCCTCAGTGGGATCATACGGTTAATATCCGATTTTGATTTATTGAGATGTTTCGCGAGGCTTTCGTTTTGCGGTATAATCCCATTGAAGAAATGCCCGCGGTCATCAATATGGGGATAGACTCCCAAATGGGTAGGATAAAATATTGTCACAGCAGACCCACTTAAAGAGTCATTGGCATTTGTTACAATGTGAAAAGTCTTGAGATCTAAATCCACCTTATAGCGCAGCCGACATTGGGTAGTAGGTGCATTCCAGAACACAAGGAAAGGCTCGTTAGGATACATTGGAGCTTTGGCCTGCATAACATGAACTCCATTAAATCTCTTCAGAAATATCCAAGCTGCCAGGCATTTGATCCATAGGTGATACATAATATGCAGATTTTCTGGTACTGTTAGTTCCTTGAGGGAAGGAAAGAAGAACAAGAAAAGTACAGTGATGATAAGAAAATCCATAGTTGCGGTAGATATGGTGGACAGCTATTTTTCATACTATTTATTAAAAGGTAAACAATGTTTAATTAATCAATTATTTCTGGTCATATCTAAAGGGTGTTTAAAGTAATACTGATCAAATTAATTAGACAGGTGAAATTAATATATTAATTCAAATAAAATAGTTGCAATAGAATTTCTATACGAACACAAATCCCCGTATCTTTAGCTATTACTGTAAGCAACAAGAGCCAAGAACCAAAGTTTTCAGAGAAAAGATGCCAAACAAAACCAGAAAATATAACGTAAAGAAAAAGCAATGGATTTAAGCTGCCTTGAATAAAAAAATGGGATTAGGCCTTTATATTGATGGAGGACAATTGATTGTGATTTTAGTCTCATCTCCCCTCTAACACAGCTAATGCTTTTTTTTCAAGTGGGGGAATCAAAATGAATTGACTTAATTAAAATTATTGAGAAATTGCAACTTTTATGGGATAAATGATTGTTATACCAGTGCCAGGCAACATGGTAAGGAAAAGATCGAGCACTAGATTAACGCAGAACAGGATAAAGAATTAGTTAGGAATTGGAACGTATCCCTGCATTATCTTTGCAAAGTCACTTGATAATGTTAATGGGCAACAATCAATTTAATAAATACATAATTTTTTGGTAATTTAATATCATATTACTTGGCACAACCAAAAGGAATAATGTTAAAGATCTACAGTATATGCCATTTTTTTAAATTAAAATTATGAATCCCTCTTATGGCTTGAAGGGGCTTGGGATACTGATTTGGGCAATGTAATAGTTGAACCAAAATAGCAATCATTATGGAAGTCAAGAGGTTTACTTTCTGCCTTTAACCAAGAGTTACAATTAAAAATGACAATTAACATTGATGAATTAGCATAAATCCCACACAATCACTCTCGAAGACGTTTGCGAAGGGATCAGGTGGTCCTCTTATGGCACAATATTATAAGAAATGTTAGAATTACTGCAAATTATGAGTCAGATATTCTTCAGAATTAGGGTTGTTGAATCAGTTTATATGATCTAATGCCTCATTTAAAAATAAGGAGCTGATTGTCTATTTACTTCGGGAAGCCAAATTAATTAATACTCAATGTTGAAAACTTAACCATTTATTTGAGGATTTTAAAAAGATGTTCTCAATTGCTTTATTATAAAAAAAAACACCTTAGAATAACTTAGACAAACTTAGAATAACTGGTCTGCCAGAGGCAAGAATCATATTTTTATCAAGTTTGACAGAATTTATTGTTTTGTTAATGACAACAGGTGTAACTTTATCAATTCTTCTGTTATATTGAATTTATAAAAAAAACTTGTGAATTTTATTGTTATTAATAGGGCCTTTTACTTTTTATTTACTCATTTTATGTTTTGTATTTTCAAAATAACATTGTATATTCTGTGTTCTTTTTCTCTTTGTTTAGACCACGGATATCAAACTCGCCGCATCACGTGACGTGTCTTAACGCATCGCAACGTTTTTCACATTCCTGGAGCTGGGGTGGGCATGGCATCCATATGATGCAACCGGCCTGTGGGCAGGCAGTTTGATACCCCTGGTTTAGACCATTGTTCAATCAAATGTGGCTTCAGTCTAATTTTAATAAAGAATCTTAGCTAGCTATGCCATGTCAGATCTCTTCTCTTCATGTCTCTTCTCCAAGAAGCCTATTGGGTCTAACCTATGTCTGTTCTGATGCTGCTGATCTGTAATTACTTCTGCTATCACCTGTCTTCCATAGGGCACTTCAATTGACTTCTTTCCTGATCTTAGGTTTATGAGAAAAATAGGGCTTTTGTGTAAAAGGAAATACTATTTAATGTGGTTTCATTCTAACTGGGGTAAGGATTTTTTATTTAAGTAGAGCATATTGAGCATCAGAGTGAAGTCAGTTTGAGCCAATCAGTCAAATTAAGCTGTGTGAAGTCAAGAGTTGGAGATTTACAGAAGACCCTGCTCTAGTGAAGTGGACAATCACTTAGATATGAGCCAGCAGTTGCTGCACTGCCAAAAAACCCAACACAGTGTTAGGCTGCATTAACAGAGGGACAGAATCAAGATCATGTGAAGTATTAATACCACTTTACAATGCCTTGGTAAGGCCACACTTGGAATACTGCACCCAGTTTTGGTCACCACGATGTAAAAAAGATGTTGAGACCCTAGAAAGAGTACAGAGAAGAGCAACAAAGATGATTAGAGGACTGGAGGCTAAAACATATAAGGAACGATTGCTGGAATTGAGTATGTCTAATTGAAGGACGAGGGGGGACATGATAGCAATGTTCCAATATCTCAGGGGCTGCCACAAAGAAGAGGGGGTCAAGCTATTCTCCAAAGTGCCTGAAGGCAGGACAAGAAGCAATGGATGGAAACTAATCAAGGAGAGAAGCAACCTAGAATTAAGGAGAATCTTTCTGACAGTTAGAACAATTAACCAGTAGAACAACCTGCCTCCAGAAGCGGTGAATGCTCCAACACTGGAAGTTTTTACGAAGAGACTGGACAGCCATTTGTCTGAAATGGTATGGGGTTTCCTGCCAGAACAGGGGGTTGGACTAGATGACCTCCAAGGTCCCTTCCAACTTTATTATTATTATTATTATTATTATTATTATTATTATTATTATTATTATTATTATTATTATTAAGCATGAGAGTAGCTGCTGAGTGGTGGGGAGGGTTACCAATTTCTCAGCTGAGTATATAGTATTTCCCAATTTATGTATTTCTCAGATTAGGATATTCTGATCATACAAAGTACTGCAGAATACTGTACACTTTTATCCCTAGCCTATAACTTTTCCCCACCCCATTCAAATTTTTAACAGGGTATTCTATATTTAATGTATTGAAACACAGATAAACATGAACTTCAGCATCTTATTCTATATGTTAATTAAAATAAATTACTCTAGTGTTATCACTCAAAACATTTCCCCGGAAGTAGATGAGCAACCCAAACTGGTACTCCATTTTACTTACAAAGTTATGCTGAAACATCAGATTAGATTAATTCTGCAATTTATCATTATATGTTACTTATATTCTCATATATAACACTATATAAGTCACACTGTGAGAAGAAGACACAACTTTCTTAAACATCGTATATAAAGTCACTTCAGTTTAACCTCATCTTTAGAGAACTTTGGTGAAACATAGATAGAATCTTGGTGATGAAAACAATAGGAAAAGAACATTGGCACAAAAGGGCATGCAGTATAAGCAACTTAAAAAAATAGCAATATAAGTAGCATACTGCAACCATTTATCTTCTCAGGGCCCTTAATTTAGTCATCAATTTGATGTCCTTTCAAACCCTGACACTCAAGTTTCACATCAGAGCATAGCATGGAGACAGCATTAATCATGAGATAGGAATGATAGTATTGTCCAGCTTCTCCTTGATTTGTCAGGATCGTTTGATATTTATCATTATGTTCTTCTGGACTGTCTCCAAGGATGTGGGGGGCGGGGACTACAAAGTAAAGATTCTGCTTTCTTTGTGGCCAGTTACAGTTGGTTTGACAATCAGGTCCAAGGCCTCATCTGTGGGGTGCTTGCAGCTCAACATTCTCATTGTAATATCTACCTGAGACAAGTGGACAAGATCAACCATGAGTACAGATGATACTTGACTGTACATGTGATTACAGGCTGATCAAAATATACTGCCAATGTCCTAGTGTCTGAAGATGTTGACCCCACTAGATAGCCCACACCAATAAATTATGCCTCAGCCCCTTTTGCCTAGATAACAGTCCTTGCATGTCTCTGTCAAAGTCATCTTTCTTTCTGCCTTCAGGATGCTAGAAGGCTCTGTATAGGGAGAGATGGGTTCAGGTTTAATTCTAGCAAAATTATTGACTGTGGATATTCAGGTAATTCCCAATTCAGCACTGGTATACAATCTGGATTTTTTTTCTTAGACTCACAGTTCTTGCTCAGGATAGGTGGCAGCTAGGGGCAGGAAGAACATTGCACAATCCATCTTTTGTATCAGTTGCATTTGCCCCTGGACCAGGAGGCTCTCCACATAGTCAATAATGGACTTATAGCAATGGGGCTTCCCTTGAGGTCCACAGAAGCTACAGCTGATCCACAATGCAGTGGTGTAGATGGTAATGGGCATGCCTCAGTATGCCCATGTACCATTGCTACTATGTAAGCTGCAGTGATGGCCACTTGGCCTCTGGATGCAATTCAAGCTAGTTATTATCTAGTTGGTAGTGTTTTAGTGGTATAGCATAGGTTACTAAGGACCATCTATTTCCAATCAGACTTTTAATGATGAGAAAAAGTAAGCGTCCTTCAGGTTCCTATCAATCAAGTAATCAAGTATTGGAATCCAGGAAAGAGAGAGGGGGGAGGGAGGGGAGGGAGGGGGGAGGGAGGGAGAGAGAGAGAGAGAGAGAGAGAGAGAAACAATAAGGAATACCTAGAAAAATGTAGTTGGGGGTCTGTCTCAAACAATTTTTGAATATTCCATCTATATCCTTCCTTTATCTACAGTAGTAGTTCTCAGAAACTTTAAGATATTATTATTATTATTATTATTATTATTATTATTATTATTATTATTATTATTATTATTATTATTATTATTATTATTATTATTATTATTATTATTATTATTTAAATTTATATATCGCCCTATCTCCCTTACGGGACTCAGGGCGGTGAACAGGCAATAATAAAAATCACAATAAATATTAAATAAAAAGCCTGCTCTAAAATACCCCATATAAAAACCCCTACCAAAACACAATCAAAACTACGCCAGCCGGCCGCATGGAATAGATGGGTTTTTTAAGGCTCGGCGAAAGAGGCACAGGTCCGCAGTTGTACGTAGGTCGGGGGGTAGGTCATTCCAGAGGGCAGGAGCTGCCACAGAGAAGGCTCTCCCCCTGGGGGTCGC